TATATATATATACTGTATATGCCTACAGTTCAGAACAATTGGCTGTAGTATATGCACTAAGTACAGACTGCTATCCAGCATACAGTGCCAGTCATGAGTGACCCAATGTCAAGGTGCAGCAGACCCCCCTCATCCATCACTCTGTGGGTTTTTGGGATGGACACACATGGCAGCGTCATGTTAATCCCTAGGAGACAGAGCAGCCTCGTCGGTAGTAAGGACTAGAGCCAGCTGCCTGAGTCTTTAGTCCCAGTGTTAAAAGCTTGTGTTCATATCCCCACCCCACCCCCTCCTCCACTCCTACATCAGCCTCCGTGTCAGCATCAGCAGCAGTACATAGCAGCACCGAGCTGTATGTAGTGGATGTGTCGCTCGCACACAGCACACACGGAGCGGGAGACAAGTGATCAGCAGCCTCCACTATGTCACATCCAACCGCTGAGATCACTTGAAAAGTTGGGGTAACACAAGTCAGCCGAAAAGTTGCTGGATCGCATCTTGTGTGGAGGGAGAGGGGCAGAGGCTTGTCGGTTTCAGGGGCTCGGTGTGGAGGAGATGATTTGTGTGCTGCTCGCTGGTTACGGGGACGATGCAGTGTGACAGCAGCGCGTCTTAACTAGATCCTCCCTGCACCACCTTCTTCTCCCCATCATCATCATCATCATCATCATCCCCCTCCTCCACTCCGGCTCCCAGCCTGTTTATAGAGCAGAGTGGGACTTGGGAGGGATTGTAAGCACCGGTGTACAGCTCATCCACGTGTTTTCCACCAGTGGGGACCGGAGTTGGCATCCAAGACGGAGGCATCAGTGGAAGCATCACATCTGCCTCTCTGTTCAGGATTACACACGGGCTATGAGGATTCTGCCTTGGTAACATCACTGAGCCATGACGACCTGAAGGTATACTGCACATTGATCTGGGCATCACCACATGGCATTGTGGGCAATTGTCATCTGGGCACGGAGTGACAACGTCCTGCACTAATGAGCCCAAGGCAACTGATGAAAGAATAGTGTGCTCTATGGGGGACTCTGCTTATTTCTCATCTGCATTTAAATCCACCTGCTTAGGATCTTCTGCTTGACAGGTTGGCAAAGGAATCAAACTTTAGAATGTATTCTGAACTCTCTCTGTCACCTGCACCATACAATACTTTGACACTCTAAGTCTCAATGAGCATTTGATTGGCCAGACAGCGGTGCTGATACATGTGTCCCTTTGTTCTAAAGGAAATGCTATTGTTCTTTCATTTATTGGGGAAGTCACCTAAGTGATGGCGGAGTCCATGTGATGTGCTACCTGTACAGAAGCTTCCCTTAGTTCACCCAAATTGCTGCTAAAGTTTGAGAGTACAAAGTGGCAGCACCCTATCTGCTTGGAAATCTTTGTGGATTATACACTTTCTGGGGCCATTGACACAATTCGCTACTGCCATGAAGAGAAAGCAGAAAAGATTCTTTCAGATGGTTTTGCTCTTCACAGTGGCTTTAATTTTCCTGCCCAATATTGGTCTTTGGTCATTGTATAAGGAAAAGCAGCTCATGAAATCCACTGATGGAGCAGATCAGGTAAGTCACATGGGACTTTCTTGCTTGGCTCTGCTGGACAGAGATATTGCCTAGCCTCTCAGATGTAACATGCCATCTGAATGAATTAGCTCAATAGGTAACACTGAATCTCTATATGATGAGACTAGCCAGCTGGGAAACTTCTATCAGAGAAATGTAACAGTCAATAAACTTGCACTTGTTAAAAGTCTGGGTTGACTAAGGAGGAAATGAAAATGCGGTGCTTGTATCAACCAGAATCCAACTGTTATTTATAGTGTTGGTACAGAAATGACAACGTAGGACTGGTTACAATGGATCACACAAACACATTAACATTGTTCTAGCCCTTCTGAAGAGGATTGTGTTGTGTTGACTTGAAATGTTTGTAAATAGAAAACTACCATGTCAAAGACTTTTGTTTTAAGCAAAGTAGTTGTGTAGAAGATAGGTAATTGCTGCTGGCTGATTATAAGATGATGTAGTGAATTTAGGAGTATACATTAATTTACTGAAATTGTGATGTGAAAGAATGAAGTGATGTCTTAAAGTGGTAAAAAAGTTACAAAGCTAACAGCATAACCGAAATATGGGTGATTTCAGGTGACAGAACATATATTTAGGAATCCTATAGAGAGAGTGGGAGTCCTCAAACCTATGGTGATTAATCTGCAAACGTCAGCCTTCAGTACCAAAGTTTGGGCTATGACCCAGCTCCCCTTACCTGCTTTAGTGAAGCGCAATATAGATACGCGCAGATGTTTGCATTTCACTTTGGCTGTCAATGTAGAAACTTTTAGCCAGACAATTTGCTTTGCAGGCAAATATTGCACACAATATTTAGTCTATTGATTCATAATTGCTTTAACCAGTCAGAAGATACTCTTGTTCTGTTGTATTCTTCTGCATTATTTAAATAACCCCCAAAATGGCTGCATACGCTAGCTTTGTATGATAAGCACACTTTAAGAAACCACTGGCGGGCTTGAAGTTTGCCTCTGTGCAGTTAGTTGTACTAATGCTGATACATTAAAATATAGTGATGACTGTAACATCACATGCATTGTTAACTTATTCTCAAATATTTACATATTCCACTAGCACATGGCTTACACTTACAGTATATGAATGGAACTGCTTACAGCACTGATCACTAAAATAGTTTCGCCTACTGAAGGACTCCATTTCACTTTTGGTGAAGTGAACTTCTGTTCACGTGAATGCTGGATGTTTGAACTGAAGACAGGTTCCCTTCACTAAGAATGAAAATACCCCATTAGTCAATCCACCACTACTGTACATGTCATATTCTCATTGAAAAAAAAACAAAAAACTTTACAAGCCGAGAATATTTGGCAGGCGAATCCTTGGATCGGAGCAGCTCATGTTTTCTATTTGTGGTGCAGTAGACTGAAATACGCATGATAATAATTGAGAATCCTGATTGGATCTACACATTATGTTTCTGACAGTGCCTGGATAATCTGCTTCCTTGCTGTCGACATTCATTTTCCATTTTTAGCTGCTGTTTCTTCAACTTTAAAAAAACAAGGCAGTGAATATGAGCCATGAATCTCTTCTGGCCAAATGAAAACCTGGAACTATTACATATTGATAAGCACAGTTTATTTGTGTTTCAAACTTGCAGCTGACAATTGCAAAGTAATGACAGTGTCATTATAGCTGTACTGGCATCAGTGTGCATCTACATTGATAGCAATGCTAGACATAGAAATGGAATTAGCCTTCTCTGCAAAATTTGTCGTCTTTTGTATGTGTCACTGTGATGTAACAGATCTTTTAGAAATGGGATCTGTTTGAGCGGTAAAGTCTTGAATTGCAGCCGACGTCTATGACATCAAAGGCGCACACCACTTCCATGGGTTGCTGTGAAGCTTTACAATCTCTGACTAGTATGTGACCAGGGGTCAGAGAGTGTCCACTCCAATCAGAAGCTTCTAAGGCTGACATTCATCTTTCGGACAACTTCAAAGCAATAAAATCCTAACAACGTATATCATAGTTTTAGTTTAAAAAGCCCAAAGCCAAGCATGTTCTAACTGTGCATTATTGATGGCCATATTGTTAAAAGTACAACCCAGAGTATGTTTTTATTGTGTACTTTTATCTAACTATCTAAAGCAAATTTGTCCTGAGATAAATATTGGCACTGCTACTGCTTCTTCAGAAAATGATAGTTTCCTGGCTATTACTGGGGTCCACTGACTTCAAGGCTTTCTGAGTCATTGGCCTAGTGGAAGTTTGCAGCTTAGGAAAGTCAGAGAAGTGTCCTCATAGGCAAAATAAGTGGTTAGTAATGGTATATTTGTTGTTTTTCTCATGACAGGTCACGTTAAAAGTATTTTAACATATGGGCATTTTGTATACGGTGTTGAAGATACTCTTTTATGAAAATGAATGAGTTTTGCCTAGGTGTCAAGGTGCCATGTAAGCTGAGTTTCTGCTATGACAGCTGTCAAAGGTACAAGCTGAAGTTAAGGTCAGTTAGAGTACAGCTAAAGGAAAAAATACCTTACAGTTCCTTATGCATTCTCCTTCTGCCATATAGGTATAACATAGCTGCTGCGGTCTTTAGATTCTTTGCTCTGCTCTTCTGCTTGTGTGGCACCATACTGTTATTTTATTATTGTGCAGAGAATATCTGAGTAACTGTTTCAAATGCATGCTCTTAATGATTGGCAAAGGCTAGGTGTAGTTGTAAACTGCTAACAGTATTTGCATTGAAAGAAGAGGTGAGTAAAAACCCCTTGCCCCTAATTCACAAGAATTGAAATTGTAAAATAATTGTCGACTCCTTATGTGTCGTCTTATGTGTTGTCTTATGTTGTCCTCATACGACCTGAATATGAGTACAATTGAGCAAACTTTTAAAATTCTGCTCCAGCATGTGAATTATGGTGACAATGGCAAAGTTTTATACCAACCATTTTTATTATATTATAAAATATTATTTTATTTTTATAACATCATTTCTTTGTTATGTTCTCATAGGCCAAAGTAAGATAACGGGTTGGAACATTGACAGTACTTTAAATGTAAATGTGAACCTGTTCCCAGAATATGGACATTCATATTCGTAACAAGCAATAAAAGAGCTTTAAAAAAAAAAGGTGCCACTGATCTTTCTAGCTGCATGTACTTATATAATCATTTATCCTTAGAGATCACAACAGAGACGTTATTCAGGTTTCAGTCAGTTTCTTACAGCCTACAAGGAACAGGTGTTTGTTTTCTGCTTGGATGCCTTCTGTACCTTTATTTTGACATTTCTCCACAATGCCTGCAGATACAGAGGTGAACGAGGGCTTTTTTAAAGAGTTGTTACTGCTTCTTCAGAACGTGTAAATACTTTATTGTGCATAGTCTGAGCACACGTTCACTTTACTAAGTAAACAACTTTTCATGCTAACATGATAAACACATAGGTTTGGTGTAGCAATCTAAGGAGAAATGAACTACGTATGAACGAACCTCTACACTAACTTGGTATAGTGTTTGGGTGCATTTTGATGCACACAATCAGATGTGTATGAATGCATGTACACAAGTTAGCCATTGATTTAAATGGTGCTAGTTTACATTTGTATCATGTTTATGTGCATTGTTCATTTTTGTTATGTGTCAGGAGTGTTATAGAGTATATTAATTACAATGGCAATGCATGCAATGGCACATGGAAAGTGAGAATCCCGCCTTAATCAATGTAACATGGAAGTTTTACTTAGGTTTTCCATTTCAAATTTAATTGGTAGACCCTAGGCTCCAAATTTCTCATTTTGTGCTGACCCCCCTCCAGTACATCATGGTGACTGACTGCACTACTGAGGCTGTGACATACACAGTTCTTTTCAATAACAATGACTGATGAGATAAGGTTTGAACCATTTAGGAGAATCCCTAGGTACTCCTGGTATTGGAAGTGCTCAAAAATGTATAGGCTTGTTAGGAAATCTTCATACGTTCTAGACAGTTCTTTCCTTTTCCCAATGAGAAGAAGTAAGGGAGCTGTGCCACTTCAATCCATGACATGAAAGTGTCGGGTTATGGTGTCATGGAACTAATACAGACAATTAGCAGATGTCTCCCTGCCCCCTGATGACTAACTGTACTCATAGCATAGCAATTAAAGTGACACTAAACTCAGGAGTTAAATCTTTAAAAAAAATGCATTCATAAACCCTAACTATTAACAAAAATGTAGTTTATTTGTGTATTACTCAGCCGTAGATCTTCAAATCATCTCTTGATTTGTGCTGACACTATCCTTCCTTTTGGAGGATGGCTGCTTATTTTCCCCACTGTCCCTGTGTGTCTTGTAAAGTAGCCACTGCTCCAAGCTCACTCCTGTGGTGGACTACAGTCTCACATTTATTAGTTTGCATTGAGATTGTAGTCCGTCGCTGGAGTGAGCTTGGAACGGTGACTATTTCACAACACACACAGGGACCAAAACTAGCCACCCTTCAGAAGGAAGGAGAGTGTCAGCAGGAATTCAAAGATGATTTGAGGATCTACAGCCAAGTGATACACAAATAAGATACATTTTTGTTAATAGGGTACTTGAATGCATTTTTAAGATTAAACTGATTTTAGTGTCACATTAACTCTTCTAATATTTCATAGGGGCTAAATCTTTACCTAGTTCCAGAGGTATATTTAGCATGTATTCAGCATGTATTAATGTATTCAGATGAGTATTGGTCAAAATAAATATGAAAATACACCTCATTGAAAGGCTTTACATTTTTGTTTTATAATAATTAATTTATGGTATGTCCATTTTAGATGTAAATAATAGTGCTTACTGGACTAGTTCCCAAGATTGCAATTTTTTTCTACATATAGAGGAAGAATAATAATGTAAGCTGAAGGGTAAAATTAGAATAGAAAACAGTAAATTAAAATAAATTTTCCCAACTGCTTAAATATTTAAAATGCTGAACTTTAACTCGTGTGTATTTGCAAAGCA